CCTGTACTGGGCCCTACGTGGCGGCGGCAACAACTTTGGCCTCGTAGTCAGCTTCAACCTCCGGACCATCTCGCTCCCAGGCGGTAAGATGTGGGGTGGTTCCCGTACCTATCTCCAAGACTCGTTCCCTGCGCTCTCTGAGGCTTACGCCAACTTTATTGCGAACGCGGAAAAGGACCCGAAGGCTGGCTTGTGGCACGTATACGCCTACTTCAACGGCACCAAACTCTCCCTCCCGACGCTGTATTATGCCGAGCCGGATGGCGGCGAGGCCGAAATCTTTTCCGAATGGAACGCTATTCCCGCCATTTCGGACACGACGCAGAACCGCATAATTGCTGACTGGGCTGCGGAAGGAGCTCAGGGTTCACCGCCGGGACCGCGGGAGATTTATTCCGTCATTAGCAGCAAGGCCGACAAGGGACTTGTTGATGCCGCTCAGGAAATCTACTTTGAGGAGGTTCTTGCCGTAACGGACCTGCCTGGCATTCTTCCCACTTTGGTGTTCCAGGGCATCACCATTCCGATGTTGAAGCACATGCAGCAGAACGGGGGCAACGCACTGGGCCTCAATGTCGAAGACGGCCCGTTCTACATCATTCTCCTCTCCATAATGTGGAGTAACGAAGAGGACGACGACAAGATTTACTCTTTTGCCTCAACAGTTATGGAAAGAATCAACGATGAAGCCAAGGCGCGGGGGCTGGAGAACGACTACATCTACATGAATTACGCCGCACAGTTCCAGGATGTTGTCAGTGGATACGGTGCGGATAATAAGGCTAAGCTCAAGAGCATCGCGAAGAAGTATGATCCCAAGGAGGTGTTCCAGAAACTGCAGCCTGGGTACTTCAAGCTGGATCGCGCCCCGGTGCCGGGTTCCAAGTACTTCAACTGGTAGAAACCTTCAGACATGAGATGAAGGTCCAATCCCTTCGTACAAGAAATTGAATAGAGTCTTGCCGCACATGCAGCTTTCTTCATTCGTCGGCCATGGACAAGCTAGTGTCTATCCACAGGGCGGATAATGACAATCCTCTCACTGAGATAATGTAAAGCAAAGATGATCTATAGCTGTTCTAACATGGTCGCCACTGTTCGAACCTCCCTCCATAAGCATAAGATGCTAATGGTATACCATTCTCAACGAGATTCTTGAAACGTCTGGAAAGTCATATTTGAATCCGACCGTTTCCGCAGAATCTTGAGCATCCACGGCGGGGCCCTATCCCGAAGACTCCCACCCCGAACCCTCCGCTCGAGAAGCCACTGCACCGTCATCGTAGCCATGGCGCAGTTCCACACAAACGAAACAATCATGCCCAGAGAGAATAGGAGCGACGAAGAGAGCGTATTCGTTCCGCAAATCGTCATGATGCCGAAGTCGTCGATGCCGTCGGGAAGGGCGAAGCCCGAGATGAGCAGGATGGCTTGGCAGACGAGGAAGTCGAGGGCGTTGAAGAATTTCAGGCGGCGGTACATGTAGAAGGTGAGATCTGGGCGGGAGCTGAGTCTCTTTTGGTAGAGGTAGAGGGGAACTGATATTGTGGCAAGGCCGATGGTAATGTAACCGATGATCTAGAAAAGGATCAGCGTCAGCTTCTGACTTGCAAGCGTTCAAGGAGGAATAGCTTACTCCGTGCTCTGTTCTTGCGTGATCAGAGGTTCCCATTGCGATTATGCCGGTGACTAGTCCCGCGATGGACAGGGGAGCGAAGAGGAGGACCGTGAAGATTGTCTGCCATCGTTCCAACTTTCGTTTCGTGGGCTCCTGAAGTGCGCGATCGATCATGATGCATAAGTTGGGCGCTGAAGCCAGTACCAGAATGACGGGATAACAGAAGAAAAACGCCGCAGTCATGCATACAACTAGAGCCTGTCAGATACATGGTATGATAGACTTCAGGGGGTGAAATGAGGCAACCCACGATGCACATAGGTCAATAACACAAAGTCATCCTCGTCGACCCCGTTAACCTTGTAAGAGTCATCTGAGAAGTCAATAGAGAAGGCGTTCCCTTTTGACGTAACGTTGAGTCGTATACAAGTCGGTATCGTGACGTTGAGCACGGGGTTAGCTGAGATGTTTCTCTGTAGTAGTTCGTGTAGTCCTGCTACACCCTTGATGATCCAGCAGTGATCAGTCGTTGATAAGTCGTTAAAATGCTCTTGCAGGAAGTCGGTTATGTAAAGTTCATCCCAGGGGCTAAAGGGGCAGTCTCGCCGTATGGGAACTATCGTGTCGTTGATTTGCCGACGCTGCAGTTGTACGCTTCGGGCCAGGTCTGGGTCCTCGGAGGTGCCATCTGAAGATGGCCTAGCATCTGCAAGTCCGATGCCAAAGAGAAGTATGCTAAACAACATCATGCCTGAATACATGATCTGACGGTGGTTCGACGATAGAGAAAAAGCAGACGAGGCTTCCCTCATAAAGTCTCTGAGGCAGTAGTGAATGTGACAACCTCCTCCACGGAGCCGTCGGCAGTCCTTTTCAGCGGAGGCTCTCCCGGCCGTTCCCAGAATGATGAAAACTGCGAGGCTACATCTCAGGGGCTTTGTACGGCAGAATTTTCCCCGTTGTGAGGCTTGACCAGTGATTTAAGGTTTCGTCTCATTGTGCGACGAAGTCGGACTCATCGCACACTCGGATCCGGTGGAGACTCGGGGGCCCGCGGAGGTGCTGGGGTTGCAGGGCCACCCTTGCTAGCGCGATCCATACTCTGTAGTCTATCTGTACGGCAGCGAAAAATGAACTATCAGGATATTTGGGTACTGACTTAGAGCGATTCATTTCCGTAGATATCTGCTCTATCAAGCTAGGGACTGTACAGACGCGTACTTGCTGCGCCACTGTGCTGCCCTAATCGCAAAGGTCCCGAAGATACCAGAGGCGTACCTAGATACCCGAAACATCAGAAGTCGAAGCAATCCGTCACGCCGTCGATGCCAAGCTCGCTCAAAAACAAGCCGCTTACATGAGAAGATGAGGGAAATAAGATAGGGGCCCTCGTGCTGTTCTCGGTTCTGGGCGAGTTGCTTCTCTCTTCGTCATCATCTCTTGCAGCCTTCGAGCAGTCCACATCGCGCGAAAGCGTCAAGCCGAATGGTAGAGCGACTGCTGGCGATGGTTGGCCTGGAAACTTTGGTATATCCTGCATTAACTCGGGAAATTGGGCAAAGAAATCTGGTGCCATTGTCCAAGATCGCAAGTCGTGGATCTTCTCTTTGAAGAGAGGCGAGAGACCGTATGTTCCCAGTTGCATATTCCTGATATAGCAGTCTCGAAAGTCGTACGGCCACACTATTCGCAAATGTTCTTTGAACATGTGCCAGAACAAATTGCTACAGTACCGGTGTGGCGCAATGGCAAACCGGTACCTTAAGGCTGGCCTGCATCTATAAGTCAGCATCATACCCTTTGCTAAGAATCGAGCCAACTTACCAGGCAAAGTAATCAGCTGATGGATCATGAGTAATTTCCTGCAGAGGCCTTCATAGGTTTAGCCCATGACCACATTGAGGGCTCAACAATATGCATTGCACTTACGATTTCAGATACCACATTGGTACGACTGCAGACCTCACCAATGTCGGATCCGCATATGCCCTCATAAGAAGATGGATTATGAACAGAACGGCCAAACGTTCCGCTTGTCCACATGCTGAGAAGCAAAGTTCATCGAGTTGGCGAACTTTTCTCCATAAAGGCGTCATCCTGCCTGTGTGCGCCAAGCTATCCCAGCCATGAAGCACAGCGTGGACAGGAACATCCTCGACTGTCTCTCCTTCCATTCGTATTGAAGCGTCGGGGAGAGCAAATGGCTCTTGAAGAATTTCGTTACCCGCTTTCCAGTTATTGCAACTGACTTGTGAACCATCCGAGAGTCGTCGAAGTCTGTTGGTTGACGAGCAGTGACATTTCGATGCAATTCGGCGAGTTTCTGTTGTGAACTGCTGACTTTTTCTTGATGTGGATGTGTCGAGTGATACGCCTCTCATTTGTGGCTCACTCATGTTTTTCGATGGTGCGGGTGTTGTGAAGTCTGGCTGAAACATTGAGTCACCCAAAATTTGGTTGATATCAAGAGAAGATTCGTCCATGAAACTGTCCATGTCATCCCCCATTTCTTTCTCCGGGACCTCATCGGCGGAGCTATCGAAGACAGGGACTGATGAATATGCTGGAGACGTTGATGATTCCGGGCTCGGATGTTTCGGCGGAACCTCTTTAGCTGATGGCGGCTTCGACAGAGAAGCCACGTCGCAAATCATCCCCGTTGAGCCCCATGATTCAGCCTCTTTGACATGATCGTTGAACAAAGAAGAAGTCGTTTTGAGACATCTCATGAGTTTGTTCCTCTGTTCAGTCACCCTTGACAACTCTGCCATGAGCGATGCTGTAGTAGCGGTGTCATCTTGCTGGCTCAACTTCGCGACCAAGCTCTCGAGCTGAGCTATTCGGTTCTTCGTCTTTTCTCGAGCAACTCTTTGGGCTTTGCGATCGTATTCTCTCTTCTTGAGCCTCTGAGATGTTGCAGCAGTCTGTGAAGTCCGCCCGGGTGATCGAGCAGCCGTATCTTGTGTGCAAGAAGTTGTAGGCGTGCTAGTCATTTCGACCTGTTTCTGAGTATTGAAGCTGAGTGTCATGCAGTGAGTATGCGACAAATTGAAGTTCGCCTGTTACTCAGCAGACGAAGAAGTCGCATGAAATGGTGGGTTCGGGGTGACGTGGGTGGGGTTTGTCCGACGAGTTGTGATGAGAATGCGGGGGAACAAAGATGTTAGAGGCAAATGACCTCGGATCCTCGGTAGCACGCGGTACGAGATGGTTTCCTTTTTGAAACTAATTAAATAACCAGCCACTCATTTCACTAGAACGATCGAGTAGTCACGAACTCCCTCACGCACCAGGTCTATGGTGGTATTTGTACTCAGGGGATCGTCTGCGGGGCCCCGGACTAAAGGATGATCTACATAAAGTAGGTTTATAGTCTAATTAGCTAGGCCTTGCTCTGGGTTCTTCTTCTCAGGTAAAAGTAGTATGTCCCAGAGTGCTGAAGTTCCTTGTTGTCCATAGCACCGATCACAGTGTTTTCATCCACATAACGGAATGCGTCAATGATGGGGAACTTGTCATAAACCATTGCCGCAGTCACAACACCCCTGAACTTAACCTCTCGAACCTGATATCTCTCTTAGCTATACCTTCGATAACAAGTAATTGCCCAATCTAGATGCACTCACCCGCGCGTGGCCGTAGTCAGAAAACCACGTTCGTTTGCCATCTTCTTCGTATCGCATGATTGGATCTACATCATCGACGGACCGGAAGTCTTTACCCGCCCATTTGAAGTTGCGAAGCTGCAAATGCGTGGAATGTCCAGTATCGAAGCTGCCTCCTTCCCACTGGCCAACCAGCAGCTCTGGAGCGACAGGCTTCAGCTGATCGTAGACGCTTGCGATAGTGGCCTCCTCTACATGGCCCTCGATCTTGGCGAGTTCCGCAAATTGCTGTTCGGGTCTACATGATTGGTGAGAATTTGTCAATGTCTAGTTAGGCTGGGGTCTAAGCGCAAACGTTGAAGTCATTATAAAAGTTGTCGTTTGAAAGGAGATGCGGTTCCGATTCTTTTGAGAATGATGCTTGGTTCAGTGTTCCAAGTCAAACCGCTGCGTATCATCAGTCATATTTATGCAACGAAACCAACATCATTTCGCTCCTCGGGGTTCGTGGCGCCACTGGGGACTTAACATCTACAAAGTCGTGAGCCGAGGGTGCGAGTCAAAAGCCCGTCCCCACCCCTGACTCGACTCTGCATGTCACACTTGAAGCGATTCAGTAGAGCACTACTCAGTGATTCACAGCAGAGAGCTCTCACTCCGTATGTGTTCATCGTGTAGTTATTCTTGCGCCTCACAATACTCCTTCGCACTATGAGGAATTTCAATTTGTGGACTTACGTGCACGAAATTTCGATCATGGGGCTTGGACGAAGTAGGGTATCAGTCCTACCTAGATCGAAATAAAGATCAACTCAATTTGAGAAAGACTCAATTCTCTTCACAGACAACATGATTGCTTGAAATTGCCCGAGGAAGCTACCTGGAAAAACGATTGAAAGCGCTTTTTAGGATCGTAAAGACGCCGCAACTCCACCAACTTCTCATAATGCTCCCGGTATACCTATCGAATCATCAGAGAAAATATTTTGAACCAAGAAACTCAGAGATCAGCTGAAATTACTCACCCCTTTCACGTCGTGGTAAGATGGCTCGAGGCCAGCAGGATTGACCTCCGCCCGAGTTCCTAGGCCCAAAACTTGACCAGGCGCATCGTTGGAGATTTGACGAATGATTTTCTCCTGCTCCTCTGTGCCATTCCCCGGACAGCTTATGATGAAAAGCAACAGGTGGTTCAGGTTGTTGGACCGAGGCCATGCAACCTCTGCGGTACCGCCAATTGGGGGTCGCTGTAAGTCGACTTATCAGTAGGAGGACAATGACGAGATGGAATGAGAACCTACAAGCAACAAGAACTCGAAGATCACTGAAGACATGTCGTGAATAGTCTGGTCTAGCTTCGCTATGTTGTCATAGACTTCAATCGCTCGCGCGATTGTGACACGATCCAAGTCGGACACTGCCATTGGCGCGTAGAGCGTCTTCATTGTGCCTCGCATGACATTTGCATTTCCTTGTATGGGAATCGTGTTAACGTGGTATTCTCTGGAAAACATAAGAGCGTCTTACTCTGCATGTCGAGAACGCCTTTCATGTTGGTCACTCTTGTTTGGTCGATTGCCCCGGGCTTTTCAAGAATCCAACCGAAGGTAGCTCGACCATGCTCCTCACCCAAGGCGTCGTACAAGTGGAAGATTACCGTGTCACCCAGATCGGGCTCAGGCTTCTCCAGAACGGTATGCAAGAGTTGCTGTGGCATCAAGTACATGAAGTAGTTGACCTTCGGATGGGGCGTAGAGTGATTGAACTTGACCACCTCATCAATCATCTGCGCTAAGAGGTGACGAGGTAGGAGCACAATGCCCGACCAGATTTCAGTTGGATACGGATGCGCCCGAAGAAGAACTTTGGTAATGACTGGTTTTCTGTTAGCTGAGATGATCACAAGTCTCAAGACGAGCTAGGACTTGTACTTACTACCAAAGCCGCCGCCGCCGCCGCGTAGGGACCAGAGAAGACCCGGCTCCTGAGATGCCATGACAACAGTGCCATCAAACTTGACTACTTCTGCATCAAGGAAGTTGATAGGATCGCTGATGCCGCCGTACTCGGAGGACATCCAGGAAAGGCCGCCATTGAGGATAGATCCCGTGACTCCGATGCTAGGTGTACGGGCTGCAGGAACTGGGTCTAGTTAGCTTGGATAGTGCTGTGGGTTACACACAACTGTATCACCTGAGTAATCGGGGTCAACTTGTTCCATGAACCCTACTACTTCTTCCCAAGTTGCACTCGCACCAACCGTAGCAATCTTCTTGGTCGAGTCATATTCCAGGCTCTTGAAGCTCAGCATGCTAACGATCACGTCTTTGGCGGAAGGCGATTTGAATCCATGACCGCGGATTGCAAATTCCAAGCTTGAGGAGTACAAAAACCGCACGATAGAGGACAGCTCTTCGATGGTGCTTGGAATGAGAACCACCGACGGGTAAAGCTGCTTCTGAATGGCAAACGGCTCCGAGTGAAGCTTGTATGACGGATCATCCGGTGTGATGACTGACCCCTGGCTCAAATTCTGGGTCAGAGGCTGCAATGCAGCGAGCGTTGATGATTGAGTTTCATGAGACATGGTAGTGTTGGCAATGGAGGATGATGCTTGATAATCTTCAAGTCGAATGGGGGGATATCGTTCTCTTTTGATACGAAGAACCGGGAAACTATATATACAAGTCTGATGTCATGCAAAAACTTGCATCAATTAGATAGTACCAAAGCTTTTCCCTTTCGCGTCTCGGTTTTAAGCCTAAGATGCCCCGGGTGGAACACGACAGGGAAGATCTTTGGGAGAATGACATCTGCACAGTCTATTCGAGCGTCCAATGTTTTGGGTCCTTAAGGTGTATGAATCTAATATGATGTTTTTATTCGCTAGGGTGACGAGAACCCGATGGGGGTGTCCGTACAGCGTCGACGGGGTCTCGGATTACAATGGAAAGACTTGGATTTTGGAACAAGTGTTGCCGCTACGGGGATTGCGGAATCATCACGCTATTCTACCTAGTATCTCAGATCCAATGGAGAGATTTTGCCGTCTTTGGTGTACTATAACTTGGGTAGTGAACTTACGATGGCTCGGCTCAATTGTTTATTGAAGTCCGTGACGGCCCGATTCGGCTACTAAGCGGAACGGACGTCATCAGACGAACCACGAGTAGATGTAAATACAAATCTGCAAAATAGTCAGCAATCATGCTACGTAGCCCCATAGATGAATTTTGGAGCTCTTGCATTATGAGCCGTTGAGTGGTTCTCTCGCGACTTCGTTGTCCGCTGGAATAGCGAAGAAGGTTGTCGGATTTGTAAGTGTCAGATAGTCAACTGCTCTGTTTGTAAGCTGTCTTGGAATGCTAAGGCCAAGAAATCTATAATTATGGTTCTATTGGTACCTGAAGGCATCTTTGTCCTCCGAAAAGTATTCGTCAGGTATCACAGCACCGAAGCTCCACCCAACCAAACATAAGAGTTGCCAAGATGAGCACCACAGCGCCCCAAACTAGCAAGGAGATGATTCTCCTCCCTCAGGATCTCCGAGGTCAGAATGCCCTGGTAACGTAAGCTTCAGTGCCCTCTTGTGATTCGTTTTTATGAGTCATTGCGGATTTACCTATGGACGGCCTAGGAGGTTGCTAATGATGGCGACAGAGGTGCTTCCCGCGGTATTGGCCGCGCCATAGCTATTCACCTTGCCAGTCGCGGAGCAAACGTTCTTGGTACCTGTGCAACCACTAAATCACTCAACCTATTCGAATCTCTCGAAAAGACCGTTCAACAGGGATACCACCCGAGTCAGTTCGACGCCCCAAGAGTCACGGGACTGGTTGCCAACCTTCTTTCGCCAGACTTGGCCGAGACGATTGCCAACAAAGTCCAGGATGAGTTCGATGGCAAACTCAACATCATTATCAACAACGCAACCCACTTTGAGGCGCGGCCAGTCCGTCAGCTTGATGCTGAATTCATCCAGAGGGTCTTGCTAGGCAATGTACAGTCTTTGGCGCTGACGATGGACGTGCTTCTCAGACGAGACTACATCCAGCCGGAATCCCGCGTTGTCAATATCTCAAGCGATTGGGCTCGTACCGCAGCAGCATCGTAGTAAGTCACAGTCAAATAAGAAGACCTTGGCGATCTCGGATTCCTGTGTTGATGTTAACTTTACAAGTGCCATGTTGTACGCATCGACCAAATCAGCAATGGAATCTCTGACCCGATCTTGGGCGGATATTTTGAGCCAGGACACAACGACGCTGGGAACTACGGTGAACTCCCTCTCAGTGGGTGGTACGGCGACTGATGCGCTCACTGGGAGTGCGCCGCCGGACATGCGCGAAGCCGCATTGAAGGTTCTGAGCGAGGGAAAATCAATCCATAACGGAGTCGGACTTCCAGATGATGTTGCCAAAGTCGTGGGTCTAGTCGTAAGCGATGCGGCGCGCTGGATCAATGGAAGTGTCATTGCAGCCAATGGCGGCTCAGTCAAGATTTTATAAAGCTAGTAGCCTGGAAGCTGTTTACTGGCTACGGAGCGTAGCATTACAACGAAGCTATGCTTCATAGATGAAATTAGACTGATAGAAGAATGAACAGATGCTCTGCCACTACCAAGAATTGACACGGAGCATGTCATCGACGATGGCACTGGCAGGAATGTCGAGTACCTTGAGCTGAAGGTCAAAGAAGAGGTTTCCATGATGTTTTGCCACCCCCTCCCATCCATTCAAAACATCCTGACACAGCTTCAAATCCCATGATGCACCGTGAGAGATCTCGACTGTGTGACCTGATACTTCGTAACGGAACAGAATCGCTTGATTCTTCCAGGTCTTCCACAGTTCCATGACCTTGAGATTTGGCAAGTGCATTGCGGCCGCAGCAGCTCGTTGAAGTAGACCTTGAGTGTATGCCTCGTCGAGAGTTGAATCGAGGAGGGGAGACGTGAGAGCTACCGCTTCGAGAGATGACCAGCGGTCGAAACACTCCACCATCGGCGGCATGGATAATTGAATAACTTCATCGAGGAAATGCGCGGCGTCGAGAACATTCTGAGAGCTGAAAGAAACTAGGCGAGAGCATCCCAGTACAGCCGCCCGAGCAATATCGCGGTTAGGACCGGGCTCTTCGGAAGGCCCATGTAAGTTGTCATGCCGAGCCTCCCATAACTTGACTCTCTTTACAGTAGGTGGAAGACTTTCAAGTAGAGCCACATTTGCCTTGTCTCTCCGGGATCTGTCTATTTGGTCAATGCCCCGCCAAGGTTCGTACTCAATGGTTTCCAGATTATCCAAGCTCAGAAGAAGAAAACGAATGGCGTCTGCTGATAGACTTCGATAGCATACGTCTGTAACGCTGAACTTTTTGACTACTGGAACCCTCGGAACCACAGGGCACCCAGTTTCAGCCAAGCTTGTCAAGCTCGACGTGGGGGTTGCATTTTCAAAGTCGAGCAGATTTCCCATGAGACGCTTCCGTGCTCCCAAGAGGTCAGCGGGCTCAAGATTATCATAGGGTTCATCGGGATCATCATCCCCCTTGAATGGGTGGTAATCGTCCTCGGGCGAGTCGGCAAAGAAGTGAAGGTGAATGCCGAAGTGATCTTCGTCGCCGTAGCCTAGTTGCCATTTCGAAAGCGTTCTAAGAAGTGACTTGAAGTGCTTGTCAAAAATCTCATTGTTGTGCAATATCTCTTCGTCGTCCTCTTCCTTGCAGAACTCTTCGGAAGTATATGTCGCTAAGGACACATGGAGCCAGATCTGACTGACGTACATCTGACGACGAGGACCGACGAAGTCTCTGAGTTTGTCTATATCGTGGAGCCGCTCAAGTTTTAGATTCTTGAAGTTGCGCTCCTCGAAAAATGTTTGCCATTCTGCAGAAACGGAGGCTAGACGGCTTTTCTCCTGCGGCGTGTCTTTGGACTGCATCGCAAAGATGATCCCGAGGATCATTAATCGAATCTCTTGCGGAAAGATACTCCATCTGGATGAGGGCCCTCTTTTCTCGTGTTCTCTGGGGCTGTTAAGGTCTTGTGACTGCTCGAGTTCAAGTGCAGGCGTTTGAAACGGCTTATCCAGCACGGGATGCTGGGCGTTGTTATTCATTCTATCGGGCCAAGGAATTTTTCAAAATGGTAGTTTGGCAAAACTGGAACATTGATTAGCTTCAATCAAAATTGTGATGTTGCTCAAGATTTGGATAAACTTACAAGATATCTGTGGCGATCGTCGAGGCGGAATGCGTGATCTGAAGTTCTAGGGCGATCGAAGGCTGGCCCTGGTATTCGAAGAAATGGTGATAGTCGTTGGATCAGCGGTACCCGTTGCACAATATTTTGCTTGCAGTCGTCAACAATCCGTAAGGATGCGGGACTCGATCGTTACGTATGAGGTCAAGCAGCCTGATTCATAGAAAAAACAGTGCCTGTAGCAGCAAGTATCGCATCGGGGAGATGGCTTTCCAATCCAATATTGTTGCGGCTGATGGATTGAGTGGTGTACCAGCTGTCTGCGGCGCGTTTGTCACTCGCACTGTAGCTCGGAGTGGTGATGGCGATTGATGACGTGGATGTAATGGAGGGAGATAAAATACACAAGGGCCTGCTCAAGAAGAAAGCCTGGAAGAATAAGCCTTGTTGTGCGCCAATGTAAAGCTGGTAGGCAGGCGCAGCCGCGAGGACGGGATCACCACTGATCGGGAAGGAAGGACATGGAGATTCACTGGACGTCGACTGCTGCCATCGTTGTCTTCACTTTTGAGTCAAACTCAATTCTCAAGTAAAATGAGGCTAATGTGTGTAAGCGCATTGAGTAAAAGTAGAAGAGATTCTTCACTTCAACCCGTGGAAAATCTCTGGCTTTGTGCTTCTTAATCTGTCATGAATGCCGCCGCGGCCACGAGAAGGAGTAGTGCCACCGGAAGAGCCACCGCGGCCGGCTGAAGAGCTGGAACCGGAAGTGCCTCCTCGGTCCTTCGCTTGGGGAGAAGCGCCAGGGTTGGACGGTTGACGTCCGATCGATGTCACCTCGAGTCTCTTGACGAACTTGGCCGGAAGGTTTCCCAGCTCATTCTTCTTGCCCAGCTTCGTCATGATGGTGCTACTGAAAGACAAGTACATGCTTGAGAAATCTTTCCACATGGTCTCGATGTAATCGTCTCCTGAATTCGGCCGGGGACAGTAGTGATTGGTCTCGATGAACGCCTTGACTGCCTTGTTAATGCCCGCGTCATCCATGGTCATATCATGGCAGTCATCGAAGTCAATCATCCACAATGAGGTGACTCTTCGGCCAAAGTCAGGGGGTTTGTGCGTCAGAAGTTCGTACGTGCTGGTCATTGGCTTCAGGGCCAATATATCGACAAGACGGTAGTCAGTGCGAACAACCTGCTCCGCCACTGGAGAACTTCCGATGACGAACTCAACATCGTTGCCGTCAATCTTGGCGACCCAGTGCATAACGGCAAGAGCATGAGCCATCCCCAGATACAGGTCGGCTGGCTTCATTTCCAGGTCCTTGATCTGGTTGGCGTGAAGCTTGAAGTTTCGCAGAGAGAAGAACTGGCCGCCCGTACCATACTTGATGCGGCCGAGATACGGCCGCACTAAGCTTTCTTGTTGGCCTCGCTCTTCATCAACTGCTCTCGTCCTTGAGGCGGACAGAACTTCTCAATTAGACAGTGACGAACGGGCTTCGGAAGAGGGAAGATCCTTTCCATACAGAGAATGTGATTGGGCTCGCGGGGGAATCCAGATATATCTGGAAACAGTTCAAGATTCTCCTCCCAAAAGCTGTGGGAGGTCGGCGTGGCAAACCAGAAACATCTTGGAATTTCAACCTGTCCAGGATAAAACTTAAGCGAATTGAACGCGGTCTCAATTCGCTTGTGCATGATGTAGTTATTCCACAACTTATCATCCTGCTTCGTGAGAGGCAGCTTGTAGGCGAACGTGGTGCCGGGATGCTCGAACACTTTGCCGATGGAGCCGGTACCGATCTCCCGGAAGTTTGCAGCAACGCCAACTGCTGCTTGCTGACGCTTCGCAAAAGACGAAGCCGTGGAGATTGTTGACTTGGTTGAAAGCATTCGCTTAAGACAGAACTCGATTGTTTCTCCTTGAGTTTCAGCTTCAAGCCTTTCTTCTAGGTGAAGGTTAGCTATAATGGCCTGCTCCAAGGAGACAGCTCTCGAAGAAGCCGCAGTATCGTCCGACTGATTCTGTGCACGACGCTTCTTGAAGGCCTTAGGTAGGCGGGAAGAGCCTTGTATCGAAGTATCGTCCATCTTCGCGAAGGGGGTTGAGGTGATCCCAAGTTATCTGAGTCGATAAAACTGCAGCCAGTGCTGCGTAACTACTGACAAAGTGCTATATCTCAGTAAGTAGGAGAACCTGGCAACTGATGGTGGAATAACGAATCAGAATCAGCGACAACCACCTGAGAATATAGTCCATCCTTTAAGTACATAGAAATCTGGCGAAGTACGCCGGTAAAGGCGTCATGGTGAAGAGAGAACCGCATGCAAAGAAGTCAAACTTCTTGAAGTTTTCTTTCAGCAACTTTGATTCCTCAACTCTGTGCTTGGTTCAGCCTAAGAACCGCAGGTTGGTTGCAGAATCATTGATGAGCCAACCTTGCAATGATTCTGCAACGGAATGTTTGTCGTCACGTAGTGTGTGATAGGCAGTGTGTAGCCAACAGAAAGAAAACTTGGAAACGGCAAACAAATTCTATCCAACACCTGGAGTACTAGAGGCAGTAAATACTTACTGAATCTCTGGATTCACACACGACTATGCTGCTAGGTTCTCCCAGCCCATCCGACTAGAAATCTGTTCCCTTGGTGAACCTTCCCTTTGTCTCCTCGATACACTCCATCAATCTCAGCGGCAGCCGACGCAAATCCTCCTCTTCGCCCTCCAAAATTCGCTCACTAGCCATCAGGAAGTGAGTCCGGAAGGCAGTCCAGAGTTCCTGATCCTTTGCGTTGTTGCTGCCAGGTCGCGGATAGTAAGGGTCGTTCCGCCAAAAGCTTCTACAAGCTTGCTTGATTCCGTTGTCGTCCATTGCCATCATCCTGCAACAATCAAAGTCCAGGATCCACATAGCATGAGAGCCAAACTCATCTGAATGGAAGCCTACAGGACCCAAGCTTGATGTCGTGGGGGCTTCGCATGGTGGCGATTGGCAAGTCCTTGGGTTCGCAAGCACAAACTCAACGTCATTGGCATCGACTTTTGCGGACCAGTGCAGGAATGCGAGAGCCTTTGCCATTGCTACGGCGTACCCTTCAAGATCCAGGTTGAGAGTCTCCATCTGATCGGCGTGGAGTGGGAAGTTCCTCAGACTGAAGAATCTAAGTCTAGGTCTATCTTGATTGGTGTCTGTATTCCGAAGCTTTCTGCGCCCCAAGTAAGGTCGAGCGAGACAGTGGCTATTGGTCGGGCTGTCGGCAATCTCATCCGCATCCACGTTTGGGTGAAACTTATGGGCCAACAGCTTGCGAACATCGCGAGATAGTGGCGGAATCTTCTCGCTGATGAGTGCGTTGCAACCCGTGTATCCCGCAGGAAATCTAGGGAGCATTTGATCCCAGGCAGTCGCATCGTGTTTGAGGAAGCCTTCACAGTGAGGCACATTGAGGTGGACTCTATTGGTACTATCCAAGCTCCGGATAATGTGGCGATGCATCGTGTGTTCGTTTGCGATGGAACGACCTGGGCCGCCATCCTCGCGCTTGATAGCGAGGTTGCCCGCGGACCACACAGAGCCACAGAAGCCCTTGCCGATGGCTTCAAGTGGCAGCGTCGAGTGCGCGATTGTGAACTCGAACGTGTGAGGTGTTTGCTCGTCCATGTTTGCGTCAAGACTGGTTAGATTAGTGGTTGTAATGTCTGTGTACTGTGTGTTCTTTCTGTGTGGAACACTCTTAGAGGGGGGAGAGGAACGACCGGGGGGAAGAGTTGTCTTTATAGGTAAACCCATGGATATAGTTATGGCTGAAGCCTACCCGTTGCCTACCTGCAGACGCCCAGATTTGTGGTTAAGCCTACCCTTTGAGTTGTGTGACTCAAACATTTCATCGGTACCCTTTAGTTCGCAAACTTCTTTGAAGTTGAAGGCTGAACCTAAGTCGTGTGGCTCTGGGCCGACTAGGCATCAAGGTGAGGGGTTTCTCCTATAACCACTTTGGCGAGCGATGTGGCTGACTACGGTGTACAACAGGATTGATAGACGAAAACGCCTCAGTGAAGGCTCAAGAGAAGAAATCTCATATTGGGAAAAGAGCGAAGAGGCAAGGGGGTCCATTGAAGATGGATTGTGCGCCCTTTGACATGGCTTTAACATGGTACCGATGTCGCGTAGCCATCATATGCCGCACCATTCTGTATTGGTATCATGGGGAATGTCTAAAGGTATAGTACAGTATCAATACAAACTGGTTTCTTCCAGGGGAAAGCGACTTAAACCTGGATGGGAGCAGGATTGAGGCCGACAAAATTGCTCTTTCGCGCTTTGTCCTGCCGTACCGCCCTGCGTTCAAATCTGTCCTGGCCGCCCTTCTTGCGCTTTGCGACCCGTCTCTGTTTCTTCTTATATGGTGTGTCAATCATCCACTTATAGCCCTTTTCCCGGTAATACTCATTGTCTTCCTCCAACGCCTTCTTTTCCGCCTCGCGGATGGCTAGAAACGCCCTTGCTCTCGCAGACTGATCCGCCGCATCGTCGCTCAGTCTCCTGCTGGCATCATCAAATGTAGCAGCTACACTGCTGGTGTAACTCTCTTCAAAGACATAGGGCTCGACAGTCCCTACCCTTTCGTAACTTGGTTTTTCAACCCAGTCAGGAAGGTCTGCAAGGGGCTGCTCGATTCTCTGCCGCAACCTGACCAGCCTTTCCACCACCCTCTTTTGAGATTTGATCTCGGTCTGGAGATGCCCATCCCACTGGTCCTCTTCCTTCGCAAACTGCTGTTCATCGCGCATCGAGCCGAGCAGATGTTCCATGTTCTTAATCTTGTATTTGTTCTTCTTCTGGACATAGTCGCATACGGAGCGGTGCTGCGGCTTGCCCTGGCGTAGAAAGACGACGCCATGTGCGGTCACTGCGACGTTAGGGACGTGCCGTATGCCGGAGAGGTCCCCGCGAGGCACAGGGTGGCGCTCGGAGATGTAGACGGGTGGTTCGTCGAGGGGGGAAATGCGCTTGAGGAGGGGTGGCCATTTGGGCTTTGGACGCTCGATTTTCGGCGGTGGCGGTGGTGGTTTGCCTGCTTCTGATCTTGCATCACGAAGGCTCTTTTCGCGGAGGTACGTAAGGATTTCGGAGTGCTCTTTTGACGATGGGGTCTGGGCGCCTTTGAAGAGGTTGAGAAACTTGAATTGGAGTACTGTCAGTACTAGAAGGCGCTGCGAGCAAAGTACAGGAGTATCGCACCTTGTACCCCTTCGATAGCGCAGCAAGAACAAGACGGTAGCTCGCTTCCGTCTGATTGCGCTTGAAGCCTTTCTTCACGAGCCGTGGCAGCGGGTTCTCGACACCCTTGCGGAGTACATCGTTGGGGAGTGGCACGGCGCGAGCCTCGCGGACGAGAGCACGATATAAGGCGATTGCGGCGATACGATGGCGGGAGTTCTGAGCTGGTACGAAGTGAGATGGCATCCTCGCGGAAAAGGAGGCGTCATTCCCCCGAGCTTCGGTCACATTGCTGGTGTTGGTGAAGCTTGAGCTTTGCGATCGTTATGTTCTGGAGGGGAGATGCATTGACAAATGGGTGTCTTATCTAATCGGCTCTTATCGATTCTTATCGAGGTTTACCTCAACTCAGGTACCTAAGGTAAGGTAGGTAGGTACCTTAGGTAGGTGCTTACTGTGCAGTAGGTACCTTATCTTACACCATAATTTACTGCTGGATAATACCAGAGCAAGACATTGATGTTGGCAAGATCCCTGTCAAATCATGAACAAATGCGATCACTGCTTTCCGATTCTCAAAGCAAAGATTACTTTGCTTGTTTTCGAGTCAAGCTGTTGTCCAAAGGTATCAAACCTGGCCACGTCGGTCGAATCAAATTTGGCCTCTGTCGTCGGAATCTGAAATGGCCTAGGTACCTAGGTAGATGAGGTAAGTATCTTACACGGTTAGGGTAAGGTACTTACATAGTAGGCGGGTTTTCGGATATTCTTTACGACTCTTCGAATGGTCATGAATCCCGACGCTCTATTAGCTGGACGGGAGCGCACCATCATGGAAGCCGCCGACGTACCCAGAAAGTTGCGCGGCCGAGACACCGGCCGCATACATCTATTTGGCTGAGATGATCGGTGTGTCGGTCTAGACGAGGCGGGTGGCTGACCCCTCGCGAACCACCCGAAAGGGCCGCAGTGACACGATCTCGCTGGTGTTTGACAGAATCCAGATCGGACACGCGCGGGGGTTGCCACACCCATGCTCCGTATTCGCGGTCATAATGATGAACTTGTCGCACGCTCTCCAGAACCCTGAAAACCCCTTGGGGGTCACTCCCGGGGCTGCAGACAAAGAAGGGGTCCGACAAGGATATGGGGGACGGACCGAATGGACCGTCTCTGGCCCAGGGCATGCCTACCAGCAAACCTCCTCCTTCTCTTCTCCATCTCGCTACCTTATGCCCAGCTCCCAACTATCATCAGTCCTCGAACGGTATCCTGTCTGCCTATCTTCGAGTACTTAGCTTCTAGCTCGACATGATTTTCAGCAAGCATTGGCTTGCTTTCTCAAGGTCCTGAAACCGAAAGAGGTGGAATATCACAGAAACCCAACCGCGAACAACTCTCTCAATGAAGAAGCCGTTATTTGAGTCCCTCCGGTCGAAGGAGATGCTGTGACGATCCCACATCAACCTTTAGCTGAGCCGAGATCATGAGGCTGTTGCCAATGCGAGATGGCCCAATCAATCCCGAATAATGCATGCGCCACTGCGTGCACACCACGCGTCGGCGCTTTACACCCACGTTTTGTGGTTTTTGTCAGTAATGGTAATGCAGGCTCCCAATGGTACAGGCTTGACGATCTCTCAAATTCACCCGCCAAGTTTTACCCTACCAAACAAAGCCTTCCGAGCGCCGTTTCGTCAGTGGTTCTTTGAGAAAAGGGGACAACCTCTCTCATGTTGAAAGCGGTGGTTTCTTTTTTGCTTTTTCGTCCTCATCCTACTTGACGTCTTCAGGGATGCAAAAACCTCCGGTCGGGATTATGGCGTGAGTTGATGGCGATCGTTGCCCCTCATGGAGTGAGCATGCCCC